TTGAGAAAACACTGGCAAAATACTGCTTAATTATTTCATTTCTGACTTCAAGTATTAGCATAAGAAGGACATCAATGAAAGCAAAAGAACCATCCATTGCCTCAGCACCATCTGTGAATATATAAAGGTCAACCCTATCCAGAACTCACTTTGTTAGGGATTGTCTTTTACCTCTCTACTGTAATAACAGTTGAAGAATAAAATGGTTTATTTTATTTTTATATTTTATATTTCATTGTATTTTATATATTTTATATAATATTTATATATAATTTATATTATATGATTTATATATTTTATTTATATATTTGTTATATATTTTTAATATTTATATTTATTTTATTTTATTAATCCATAAACTATATGTTGGTTGGTACAATGAGATTCAGAAACTCCTATAAGATTTACTCAATGACAAGAAATTAAACAAAAGTATCGATCTCAATGAAATCATCACTAATGGATCCAGATGGCTATCTCACCTATGGTCATATATGAAAATATTCAGAATTTGCTCTTTCTTAGATGTCATACTTTTCCCTTGGTAGTGAATTCATATAAAGCAGAACAAGTGTGCTCATTCAGATTTATAAAGATGAGAAAACAATGACCAAGGATGACTATATGTTTGGCAAGTTCAAGTCCACAAATAGCTTTCTATAATATGTGCATTGCTCAGAAGGAAGAAAAGTCACATAAATTCTCAATAGGTCTGCTGTTGACAGAGAAACAATTACAGGGAAAGAGAATAACATATGACTAGGACAATTTGGGGGGTGTTGTCCAGGAAGCTGAGCAATATAAACTTGTAGATCATAAGCAGAAAGACAAAAATCTCTTCCAAGAACTCACCCAAATTCTGTTCCTATACCCTCAAAATAAGTTATTCAGGAGAAGATAAGAAATTGCAAAGAAGATCAGCAATGAGCAAGTGAATGCAATGAAATCATCAACTGGCTGGGGAAAAGAAATCATACTGCTGAGGAGGAAAAAGTTTTGAGTATCTGCAGAAAGATGCAACCCTGTCATCATGAGGTTATGACAGCACTCAGGGGTTATGGCCAGCAGGAGGCCAAGAGGGTTATAGAATAAAGATCCTCCCCATGGAGAAATGTCTATTGGACCCATCACTGAAGAGAATCGTTAAAGAACAGCTAGACAAAAACCTGAAAACTTAAGATTTGTAGACAAATATGGTTAGTGGCAGATTAAAATCATATATTGAGCTGCTGTATAGGAAGATTTCTGATCATTCTAAATACTTAAGAATGTGCATACCTCTTCACTTAATCAATATTATAAAAATGGGAGAAATATTTATGCTAATTTGTATACTAAAAACTAGGAATCTGTCCAAAGTTGACACTAATAAAAAATAAACATAATTGTTCTATGAACTGGAAAAGGACAAGCAAGTTGCACTCAGAAATGATAGGTTCCAACTTATTGTTTAAACCAAAAGTGTACTGAAAATAATTTTAAAATATCAAGCAAGTTTTTAAAAATGAAATTAATATCTCCTATGAAGTTGTTACTATTTAAAATTATATTCAAGCATAATTTATGCCAACTCAGTGAATTATGGTTCTGAAGAAAGACAATACTCTTCCTGTAGTTTTAAAATCTTACAATTATATTTAAAATTATTTACAATTATATTTAAAATAAATTTTAATATAAATAAAGTTAATATATTTATATAAATTATATAATTTATATATAATATATTAATATATAAATTATATATAATTTAATATAAATAAATTTAATATAAATAAAATTTATATTTAAAATAATTTACAATTATATTTAAAATTCAGTGATTTAATTACATAATAAATCCACTATTATTAACCACCCAACTACTATGTTTTAGATGTTATATTACACAAATATAATTTGGACATGATTCATCTCAGTTATCTCAGAACTTAATGGAAGTGAGAATTATCTACATAATATATTATAATAATATATAGATTACAATGATATTCATAAAGAAAAGGTCTAGTTATCTTAAAAGGAAACTCTTGAATTAATATTATCCCTGTAGTACTCTTTTAAAAATAAAAGTATTTTATTCTAATAGCCCCCATAAACAATGGTATCAAAATGACCTTTAGTTTTGAGAGGTAAAACAGGTGTACTTTGATGGAGTATAAAATGTCAGATGTACTACTGATATACTACAATGTACTACAATATTTGAGTAATTGGAGAGAAATCCCCTGAATGCAGGGGAACAAGAGATACAGTGGATACCTAGAGAAAATGGAGAAGATAGATGGAGAAGTCCTAATGTGGAAAGGAATAAAAGAAACTTTATATATATTTCCTAAATTTTCCTAAGCTATCTTTGTTTTCCAGGAATATAATGTGAATAATAAATCAACTGAGCCTAGTTTATATTTAAGTTGTTTTAAAATGTTAATTAAAAATTTCTGTTATAAAATATTCTTCCCAAATTTGTAAAAAGTCCTACTAAATTTAAAATAGTTTCCCACTTCAAAATGTTAATTTTCTGTAAAAGGTTTATTCCTATAACATAATAAAAACCATATATGAAAAGCCCAAGTTAATATCATACTTAGTGGGGAAAAACTGAGAGCTTTCCCTCTAAGGTCAGGAACAAGATAAGGATGTCCACTCTCACCACTTATTCAGCATAGTATTAGAAATTCTAGTGACATCAGTTAGACAACAAAAAGAAATAAAAGACACCCCAATTGGTAAGGAAGAAGTAAAACTTTCACTATTTGCAGGTGAAATAATACTGTATATTGACAACCCTAAAGACGCCACCAAAAACTACTAGAACTGGTAAATGAATTCAGTAAAGTCATAAGATTCAAAATCAATGTGAGGAAATCTATTGCATCTCAATACACTAATAATGAAGAAGAAGAAAGAGAAATTCAGAAAACAATTCCATTTTTAATTGAAGCAAAAAAAAAAAATACCTAGGAATAAATCTAAGCAATGAGGTGAAAGACCTGTACTCTGAAAACTATAAAAGAGTGATGAAGGGAACTGAAGATGATACAAAAAAATGGAAAGGGATTCCATGCTCATAGACTGGAAGAAAAAATATCATTAAAATGTCTATACTACAGGGCACCTGGGTGGCTCAATTGGTTGGGCGAATGCCTTCGGCTCAGATCATGATCCTGGAGTCCCGGAATTGAGTCCCACATCGGGCTCCCAGCTCCATGGGGAGTCTGCTTCTCCCTCTGACCTTCTCCTCGTTCATACTCTTTCTCACTGTCTCTCTCTCAAATTAAAAAAAAAAAAAATGTCTATACTACAACAAAGCAATCTACACATTTAATGAAATCCCGATTAAAATACCAACTTTTCGCAGGGCTAGAAAAAATAATCCTAAAATTTTTATGGAACCACAAAAGACCCCAAATAGTCAAAGCAATCTTGAAAAAGAAAAGCAAAACTGGAGGCATTGCAATTCCAGACTTCAACTTGTTTTTCACAGCTATAGAAATCAAAACACTTTGGTACTGGCACAAAAATAGACACACATATCAAGAGAAAAGATTAGAAAACCCAGAAATAAACCCACAATTATATGGTCAATTAATCTTCAACAAAACAGGAAAGACTATGCAATGGGAAAAAGTCCCTTCAATAAATGGTATTGGGAAAACTGGACACCTACATGCAAAAGAATGAACTGGACCATTTTCTTATACCACACAGAAAAATAAATTCAAAATGGATAAAAGACCTAAATTTGAGCCCTGAATCCATAAAAATCCTAGAAGAGAACATAGGCAGTAATATCTCTGACATCAGCCATAGCAACATTTTTCTGAATATGCCTCCTGAGGCAAGGGAAATAAAAGCAAAAGAAAACTACTAGGACTATATCAAAATTAAAAGCTTTTGTACAGCAAAGAAAACAACCAATGCAACTAAAAGGCCACCTTACAGAATGGGAGAAGATATCTGTAAATGACATATCCGACAAAGAGCTAGTATCCAAAACAGAGATAAGTTATACAATTCAACACCCCAAAAACCAAATAACGCAATGAAAAAATAGGAAGAAGACATGAATAGATATTCCTCCAAAGAAGACATCCAGATGGCCAACAGACATATGAAAAGATGCTCAACATTAGTCATCATCAGGAAAATGCAAATCAAAACTACGATGAGCTATCACTCCACACCTGTCAGAATAGCTAAAATAAAAAACACGAGAAACAACAAGTTTTGGTGAGAAAAAGGAACCTTCATACACCATTGGGGGAAATGCAAACTGGTGCAGCCACTGTGGAAAACAGTATGAAGATTCCTCTAAAAGTTAAAAATAGAGCTACCCTACAATCCAGCAATCACACTGCTGGGTATTTACCCAAAGAATACAAAAACACTAATTCAAATGGATACATGCACCCCTATGTTTATAGCAGCATTATTTACAACAGTGACATTATGGAGGCAGCCCAAGTGTCCATCAATAGATGAATGGATAAAGATGTAGTATATACACACAATGAAATATTGTTCGGCCATAAAAAAGAATTGATTCTTGCCACTTGCAATGACTTGGATGGAACTAGAGAGTATAATACTAAGAGAAATAATTCTAAGAAAGACAAATACCATATGATTTCATTCATATGTGGAATTTAAGAAACAAACAAAAAAATGTGCAAAGGGGGGAAAAAGAAAGAGAAAGAGAGAAACCACAAAACAGACTCTCAGCTAAAGTGAACAAACTGACAGTTACCACAGGGAAGACGGCTGGAGGGATGGGTGAAATAGGAGATGGGGATTAAGGAGGGCACTTGTGGTCAACACTGCATGATATATGGCATTGTTGAGTCACTGTATTAGCCATCTGAAATTAATAAAACACTGTAGGTTAAAAGAATAAAGAAAAGTAAATAAACATAAAATAAAATAAAAGGTTTGTTGCTATATGTAGACAGGGACATTTAAGAAATATTTCTCAACAAGTTGAGAAATAATTTACTTACAATTATCTGATATTTTTGAAGAGAAATATTCCAAAAGACCTAAAATACTTGCTTCCTTCAATTCTGGTGGTTCTTCTGATTTACTCATGAGTAAAATATCTTTTTGTGAACTTTTACAGACACAGAAACCAATAAAAGCAGTTTTTCGCAAATTAGAAGTGGTTGCATACAAGCAGATTTCTGCAAGAATTGTTATATACATGTAGACTACATTCCAGGCCCAGGAAAAGTCATCTACCTTGCAGCCTTCTTCCTAAAATGAGAAAATAGTTATTAGATAATCAAGGCACATTGTCATAACTAAAACTATATACTATACTTACAATAAGAAATACCTTCAAATTTTATAGAGTTGTTAAAGAACCATAATCAAGTAATAGTTCTAAAGTGTACTTATTAAAAACAGGTTTTCCATGGGTAGATTGCATAAAATCTAGCTCAAAGAATAAAAAATACAAAAAGCTAAAAAGTATATAAAGAACAATTTTTCAATTTCCTTAGTAATCAATAGAATATAAATCAATCCAATGAAATATCACTTCCCCATATTACATTTTAAAGAATCTTTTTTTATATAAAGCTCAGTTGTTGTGTGTGGCACTTAATACATTTTTCATCGGAAAGCAAGGCAATTATATATTCTGGAGAGGAATTTGGAGATCCATTCTACAAATATTATAAAAAGTTCATAGTCTATCATTTAGTAATTTAATTTTATGAATCTATTCTAAAGTAATAGTCATAAACACAGATAAAGATTTTATGTACAAAAATACCAGCTCAACATTATTTGCAATTAATTGTGAATAATTAGACTCAATATTCAACAATGAAGTAATAGTTAAATTATCTCATGCAGACCAAAATATAAATTTTAATAATATGTCATTATAATGAAAAATGCTTTCATAATATATTTTAAATTTTGGAAACTAAACCATGTATGACTATATGATCTCAAGTTTGTTAATAAAATTTAAAGTCCTTCTGATGTGTGTGTGTGTGTGTGTGTGCGTGTGTATAATCTATTTCCCTATCTTTACATCTCTATCAATCTATCTGTAGTGGGATATATGATAAATGTGCTTTTACTTTCACATTTAATTAAAATTTTTATCACAAGGTTATGCTCATTATAAGCCCTAATATGATATACAATTTAAGTAGTGGCAAAAATAAAAAATTGTTTCTCTTCAGGTCTTTTAAAACACCTAAATTAACAATATACCGTTACCTGGTTTTGAACAGACATAATGCTTGAAAGGAAATCTCTCATTAGTTCCATTAAAGCTTTTAAGCAGGCCATGTTTAGTTTGGCAGCCTCCCCAAGGACCAACAAAGCCAGTATTGAATCCAACCTAGGAATTTTGTGAGCAAAACAACAAAGACCTTAATTAAGATAATAATAAACAATTTTTAATGAAAAAATTGGCCAGAGTTAATGAGTATCCCAGATTACCAAATATATTTACTTTTAATAAAGATAGGTATTAGTTGACACTGTTTCTGTTTAAAGTCTACAAGAAAGAACTACATTTTGGCAAGATATTTGAATTCAGAATAGAGCTCTATCGAAACTCTGAGAGTAATAAATACTATAAAAGATCACATTTCTTCATAGATCCTGTATAACAAGCAATCAAGGGCTCTGGTTCTAGAGTGTCCCCAATATCTCACAATAGTTTTTGATTTTTAACTTTCTACAACTAAGAAATGAATTACAAAAATGTTTTCCTGTTAAAAAAAAAAAAAAAGAGAACAAATTTAAAAATGACCTTCCCAAAAGTCCAAAAGTTCAAAGTACTTGATTTTACAAAAAGTGTAATTTCTCAAAATCTATATTTCTGTTTGATTAGAAGACTGTCAAGATTTATCATTCAAAGTAGTATATGATAACTGGAAAATCACACAAGAATTTATTAGTCATAAATAAACATATATTTGATAGTTTCAGGAAATTATACATTAAGTGCTATTTTCACCCAACTGAAAGAGATACAGTTTGAAGGAGAACTGGTAAGAATGCAAATGTATATTCCTCTAACTATACCTGCATATTGCCTTGATTTATAAGCCATTGATAGAGTTGGCATATTTTACAATTTGAATTTCACAACTGTGATATTTCAGGCCAGTAAGCCAAGTTCATTATCATTTTCAAAAGGAAATACCTCTAATCATGAGAAAAAAAGACAATTCTTTATATTTGAATAGAGCTTTACAGATCTCAATGTGCTTTCACATAAATTATCTCACTCACTGAACCACAATTTTTTGACACATTTCAAGACCCCTCTGAAATCTTTTTTTTTTTTAAATATTAGAAAATTGAGACATAAACAGATCTGGGACATTTACCCAGGTTCCCATTTTAAGCTGGGTTAATGATAGCTAAATTCTTCTCTCGCCTAAGGACATTTCCAGTATTGCTTTTCCAAACAATTATTTAAGTACATAGAAAATAGACTTATTGTGGTGATCATTTCACAATGTATACAAACATCGAATCATTATGTCATACACCTAAAACTAATACAGTGTTATATGCTAATTAGCCTCAATAAAAAAATTTAACCTTAATGTGACAACGCTGCCTATTGCCTACCTCAAATTGTCTGCTCCTTCCTTTCAGAAATAAACCTCAGTTTTGTTCAAGATGGCAAAATGCTCAGTAAACATTGCTTCTCAAAATGGAAATGTTCTATATTTTGTGTGGTGAACGTGATAACCACTACACTATGGAAACCGGCCACGTTCTATATCTCATGATTACACAGATGTATGCAATTTGTCAAAGGTTATAGATCTGTGTACATTAAATGTGTGAATTTCACTGTATGTAAATTATATCTTAATAAATTTGACTTAAAATATGAATCCCCTGGGGCGCCTGGGTGGCTCAGTGGGTTAAAGCCTCAGCCTTCGGCTCAGGTCATGATCCCAGGGTCCTGGGATCGAGCCCCACATCAGGCTCTCCGCTCAGCGGGAAGCCTGCTTCCTCCTCTCTCTCTCTGTGTGCCTCTCTGCCTACTTGTGATCTCTGCCTATTGAATAAAAAATAAATAAAATCTTTTTTAAAAAATATGAATCCCCACACACCCTTGAAGTTTGGAATAGACATAAATGTAGATTTAGTCAATAATACAAATAATACAAATAGTACAAATAATACAAATGGAAATGTATTATGAAAGGTTATTATTTTTCTAATTAAGAAAGAGATGAAATTTAAATAACAGGTAATTTTTTTTCATCTTTTCCCTCCCACTTGGAAAACATACATGATGCCAGAGGGTAGAGCAGCAGTCTTGCAACAAGATGATGGAAATCCAATACCATCAATGGAAGAAAAGGAAGCTAGAAGGAGCTTGGGTCTTGATTTTCTTAAGAATCTGTGTATCAGTTGTGTACAGCTTGTTATGTGCAATAATTAGTACCCTATTTGGTAATGCAACTGTAGTTAGGTTACTGTTACAGGCAGAAGAATTGAATCCTGATAGACTCAACATGACGTTTACAAGCATGAACTTAAGAGTCAGAAAAATTATAGATGGAATCTTAGCTCTGCCACTAATTAGGTATATGACTTAGGGCAATTTGCATAGTCTACCTCAGTTTGAATCTACTCATCTTTAAGTAAATATAGCAAAACCTACATTTCAGAGACTATCACAAGATTTAAGTAAAATGCTCTCTGTGAAATGGCTAGGTTCAAAATGCTGACCTGAATCGAATTACAAAAAAGACTATTTCTTCAAAGTCAAAGGATATGAATTTGATGACTTTTCTCTATGAAGTCCTAGAGTGACTGAGGTCCAGATGCCCTCAGAGGTGAATGACTAGTGAGTCATTCTCGGAGTACCTCTCACCCCACTTCACAATAAGGTCAAGTAAAGGAGAGTATAGGAGTATAGTCTCAGAGTTTACAGAACTTCCTTGCCCCTGAATATACCTCATAGGCCTATGATTTTGGTTTTTCTGTTCTCTTTTAAGTCTGAAAATTTTTAACTAACACAGGGCACTCTCACTAGAATATGGATGAAAAAAGATCCATTTGTGTCGACCTCCTGTGGTAGAAAAATGCTTCAACACAAACACACTATTTTCAATCAATCCTACTGATCATAAAATTTTCTGTAAGTGAAAGTACCTTGGGGCACCTGAGTGGCTCAGTGGGTTAAAGCCTCTGCCTTCAGCTCAGGTCATGATCCCAGGGTCCTGGGATCAAGCCCCGCATCGGGCTCTCTGCTCAACGGGGAGCCTGCTTCCTCCTCTCTCTGCCTGCCTCTGCCTGCTTGTGATTTCTGTCTGTCAAATAAATAAATAAAATCTTTAAAAAAAAAAAAAAAGAAAGAAAGTACCTTTGTTAAAAATAAAATAGAAACACCAATACTTAGATATTAGAGTTTGTTAAAATTCAAAACTGAAAACCAATGCACACAGAAAGATAAGAAGTTAATTAGGTTAGAAATTTTGCACTAGCTTCTTTGTGAACTCACTACAGTACAAATGTCAATTATTAGTAGACTGACTTGGTTTTATAGTGCCATGAAATTAAACATGTATAAAGTAATTTGCAAATATTATAAAATTTCCCCTAATTTTATAAATAAAGAAACCAGAGCAGAGGTTTACTGGCTTGTCCAAAGTGTCACAGTTACTTGATTCATTTTACTTTAAGAAAATTTTTTTTCACTTTTAAAATTAATGTGAACCACTGCACACAGGTAAACAGTACCAGATCCTGGGCTGGACCTCAGCAAGCCTTCCTCCGGCCCACTGTCCCTTCTACACTAATATAAATCAGCTAAAATATGGCAAATAAATAAATATATAGATGATAGACTGACTAAAATATAATAATAAGAGGCTTCATAAAAAACTACTGATGTATCCTACTATCTACACAGCCTTATAAAAAGGTTAGGAACATCAGCATTCAAGACAGTTTTCTTAGGTTCTCCCTACTCCTCTACAACGGTTTCTTCAATGACCAAATTGCAATTTTAAAAGACAGAATTAAGATGTCTCCAAGTCACAACGCTTACACAGCATTATTTCAGTCTTTCAATAGACACCTCAGAAAACACTAACAATGTCAAAATCCACACAACCCTAAAAATGAAAGACCCAGAATGAAAGAGAAGTCACTAAGAGCAGCAACTGATAGGGAATTTCCACAAACCATAAAGTTGATGGAGCTGGGTTAAGAACGGCAGCAAGGAGTACCCACATTCCATTTCATGAAATACAGCAGCCTCATGTCTCCAACAAAAGTTAAAAGGGAAAAAAAATGATCTCGACTATCTAGGGTGTTTTTCAGAGCTTTAGAAAAAAGTAAAGCCAGTCCCTTACTTTGGAGGACTGACTTTGTAAGGAGCCAGGGTATTATTTCTGTGCTTCTTCCTCATCTCTCTCATCTGGCAACTTCCACATGACACAAAGGGTAGAAAACCATGCTGTGGCAATTGGTGTATAGGAGGCAGGGAGGAGGAGGAGCCCTATAATGGGAACACTGGGGGGCATTTTCTCCTCAAAAGTAAAATATCAAAGAGTAGGAAGAATATAGGAAGGTCGCTGATGATAGTGCATTGTTGAGCGCCGCAGCATTTAATAACGCTGTTACGAATGCTGTGAATACAAACCTCTTGCTTTAAAATACCGAGTTTTTAAAGATTTCTCCTAGGTCATGAGGTAAGTAAAATAGAAAATGGAGACTGTGAAAGCAAGGACTGAAGAAAATACCAGTCTGAATATTTAGAGAGGATCATAGCTCTGAAAATTATTTCTTTTAGGGACCAAAAGATATTTTTAGAGACTCTTAAGTGCCTTTAACAAAGCTGAATGAGAGAAAAAGACAATGAAAAGCCCTGATACTGAGATGAAAGGTAGTATGGTAAGGAAACGAGAGACTGAAAAGAGATTAAAATACAAAAATATAATTCAAATCCTTGATGAGGAAGTTAACTGCAACAGTTGCTCGGAAGGAAGAAAACTGGCAAACTGAGACCCAGTACTAATTCCCACTGAGACAACCAGGTATGCTTGGGTGGCTCAGTGGGTTAATGTCTGACTCTGGATTTCAGCTCAGGTCATGGTCTCAGGGTCAAGGGATCAAGCCCTGCCTGGGCTTCTGTCCTTAGCAGGGAGTCTGTTTGAGAGTCTCTCTGTCTCCCTCTGCCCCTCCCCCCACTCAAGCGCTAAATAGATTAATAAATAAAATCTTTTTTTTTTTTTAAAGAAAGAAACAAACAACCAGAGAAACAGAATCAAGGGGGAAAATCTGTAGTACTACAAAAAAGACAAAAGAAAGAAAAAAAAGGAATTTTAAAGATTTTAAAGTTATGAAGAAAATGGA